TTGACTTTATACGCTCTATCTCTATTTTCGTTGTTTCGTGGGCTTGATATCACTTGTTGAAAATGCATGGCCAATGGCCAACCAGAAAAGCCAACCATCCAAGGTTTGAGATAGTGATATATATGTCGTCTTGTAAGATCTGCCTGTTGCAAGTGTCCGTTGAAGCAAATATAGTCATTCATGACTAGTTCAATCTTTTCATTTAATGCTTGGGTTCTCGCATTAAATGTTGTTTCCTGTGATAGACCTTGCGTGAAGTCTTCTTTACTTTGGTAGCAGCAGTGTATAAATTTATCAAGGACCTAGGAACCTTTTTGTCCTTTTCTAGTCACATAGCTGTAGAGTATTGTTCTTTTCAGAAAAAGTAATGTCCTTTTTCTGACACATGCATGATTTTTCTTTTGCATGTTTTTCTTCTTCTTCGTTTCTTCATTTAGATCACGCATTTTACGTTGAGAGCTTTTGTGTGGTCGTAGACGATGTCTTGGTTTGTCTCTTGAGACTTGATTCTTTAATTGCTTGCGTGCCAGTCTTCGTCTTCTTCTATTGGTCATGTGCATCTTAATCTTGACCTTCGTCTTAGCGTTTGAGTTTAATGCTTTGACTTTTCTTTTGATCTGGTCAACAATGCAAGTAGACAGACATTGTTTCCATTTGGAGTATCTTTCAATCTGTGCTGTCCTTCGTCTGATGCATAGTTGACTTTCTTCTTATCTTTGTCTCATGCTTGGTCCATTTCTTCATGTTGCATTGGAGGTTGTTGTTGACACACATCCATCTGGTTTCATCTGATGTTTGACTCAACTTTTCTTGTTCTAGGTTTGGTCATGTTTTGCCTTTTCTTCTGATACTCTAGTGTCTTTTACTTGTAGTAGGCCTTATCTAGTGTTTGTTGAATGATCAGACCTAATTTTGATGCTTGACTACTCATCATCTGATTTTCTTGTTTAGTTTGCACAGACTTCGTGGATTCTTGTATTTAATGCATTTGATCTTACATTAATTGTTTGCTTGATGAATCTACGTTTCACGAAGTCTTTTGTACCATTTGTTTGCTTTTATGTCTGGCATTAATCATGACCTAGGTATCTCTGTACTTTCCTAGTATTGTAGCTATAGAGGTGCTGTCTTTTGCTGACTGGTAGGTGTACTTGCTTTAACACATGCAACTTTGATTTGTGGATAAGCGCTAGTCCATTTTTCTCTTCTCTCTTCTTCTATTTTGATGATGTGTTCTTCTAAGAGTGTGGATGTTGGGTAGTTCTTCTTGTTGTGACTTCAGACGCAATCCAACATTTTTGGGTTTTGTCCGTATATTTGAATCTCTGTCTGATCAGTTGTGCAAGCTCTTGACTCCGTCTAGGATGCTTTGCCTTAGTTTTATCCATCGTCCATGGTCTTGTATCATTTGAGGCTTCATTATTTTCCTTCTTGTGCTAGGCTTGATTTCATTTGATCGTTTGATCTCCTTATCTGACGTCTTGTTAGCTTTTTCCCTTCATTTTGGTTGCTTGTGCTCTGTTATTTATTTCCTTTGTGTATGTGTTTGTGGGTGTCTTCATCTGATGTATTTCCTTCTTTTAATCAGCCTTTATCCGGTACTTAGCTCATATCTCTTGGTTCTGGTGTAGACGGTAATACATGTATATTCTTTATTTTTCAACTTAATACATGTATATTCCCTGTTCTTCTGCTTGCCTGTACTTATGTCTTTATCTGAAACACTAACACACTTGTTAGAAATAACAATATGCGTTATATTTGTCTCATTCAAAACCTTACTGGGAATTGCTTTGTCTGACTTAACACACGTCATCATAATCAATTGTTTATTTAAGTTTGTCTTACTATTATGTGATCTAAAAATCATCTTTTTAACAAAAAAAAACTTCTAAATTTGTTAGCATTAAAACATGTTCTAAGGAATTCAAGATTGTATTTTGATTTAACAGACTATTTTAAACTATATGAACTAAAAAGTAAAATAAGTGAAATTATAAGAATAAAAAGGTAAAAATAAGGCTTAAAAACTTCATTTTAAATTATATGAATTAAAATATAAAGTAAATGTATAAAGATAAACAAGTATTTTAACCTTTTTATAAAATTCAATTCATAAAACCTTTTTGGCAAGTCAATATATGACAAAATTTTGTGCACCAACCACAACCTTAAAGAACCATCTAAAAAAGATAACAACTTATTGTTGAATGAAGAATTTCAAGATTTTGGTTCACAAGAAAGACAAATAGAACACAACGGTTGGGAGAAACGAATGGTCAAACTAACAAACACAAATGATTCCTCATATTTGACTATTAGGTATCATGTCTCGGGAGGGATTACCTAGCCAAAACTAAATTTTTTTATTATATTTTAGTTGTTTTAGGAGGGATTAATCTGTAAAGACTAAAACTAGTTATAAATTAACAATTAAAATTATAAAATACAGATGTCACTAAGTAATGGTCATAGTCAAAAGGGATATTGGCACCCTCTAAATACATTTTAAACCAAGGGAAGTACTCGAATGTATATATAACTTTAACGAATTGGTTGATGCTTTATGTAAGGAAGGAAATATAAAATTAAAAAAAAATAAAAAAAAATGCAAAAGCTAAGATTTTGATAGCTTTGATGGTGAAAGCGGGCGTTAAACCTAATGCTGTTACTTTTAGTACATTCATCGATGGATATTGCATGATTGATGAGGTGAAGCATGCAAGGTATGTATTCAACTTTATGGCTTAAAGTGAAATCACTCCTAATGGGCATAACTATAATATCATGATTATTGGATTATGTAAGAAGAAAATGATAGATGAATCCATGAACCTTTTTAAAGATATGTAAGGCAAAAATATGATTTCTAATATAGTAACTTACAGTTCACTTATGGATGGTCTGTGCAAATCGGGAAGAATAACTTATGTTTGAGATCTTGTTGATGAGATGCCTGACATGTGTTAGCTTGCCAATGTTATCACGTACAGTTACTTGTTAGATAATAAAAAATGGTCACCTAGACAAAGCAATTGCATTATTCAAGAAAATGAATAAATTAGGGAATTTAGCTAGATAAGTGCACATACATATTGAAGGACTATGCAAGGGGGAAGACTTAAGATTACATAAGAGTTTTTTTTTTTTAGCATCTTTTGATTAAAGGTTATCCTTTATGTGGAGAAAAGATAGACACTAGAAAGGGAGGTTGAATAATGTTAATAAAAAAACTTGCACTTTTCAAGTATTGATGTAGTAATGCTAATAGTAAAGCGTGTTAAAGTGAAAGTAGATGGAATAAATGATGTGTGTTGATATTGTTGAGCATGTAAGTCTAGGTTGTGTCTAACAATGATGAGATCCAAGTAGAGTTTGGTGTGTTGTGGAGAAGTTCAAGGTTGCAGTATGGCAAGTATAACCAAATTGTCATTCCATACATTGTTCTGTGTTGTTGTTGTTTGTAGAGTCCATGCATTTATGCTTTATTTGCAAGTTAGTATGAGTCTATGTAGGAGGATCTCTATGATCATCTACCTAGGCATAGGAAGTGTTATGGTAGGGAGCCTTTAACGTAGGTGTGAGGTAACCATAATCAATTATAATGTTTCGACTAGATCTTGATATATATTCTTTAGTTGAGAGTGGATTGAGAGGGTCACTCAGTGTGTAGTGATCTATCCATTGCTCTTAGGTTGCCTTGAGTTGGTGATGATGATGAGATTAGTACTACATTCATGTACAATTAAGTATGTGCATCTACACAGGTCCTTTTTTATTATTAATAATTGTGAATGATTGAATTATATGACTGATAATTGTTGATGATGAATGAATGTATATTGAGTGGTGTTACTGAGATAAGTGTTGTGTCGGATGTGGAGATGAAAATAAATGTATATATGAAAGTTTAATTATGATGTATGTATGTTTAACTATCCATATACCTTATATGTATTGTACACAGATGAGATATATTCTCACTCCCTTTCTTTGTTATTGTGGATGTTTGTTGTTGTGCATGTTTGGATTGATCACCATCAGTAGTGACAGAATAGGTATAAGAAGAAAAGTTTAATGGAGGGGAAACCTAGAGCATCTTTGGTTTTATTGAGTCTTTGCTCTAATAATGTGACATCAAGGTGGAGAGTTATGAGTTTTCAATTGCAGTTAGAGTTAATTATATTTTATGACATTTTATGTTTTCTGTTGGATTTATGTAATTAGATGGTTTGTGCTTCTTTTTTTTTTTGAATTTGGTTAAAGTTATTCATGACATGATTTTAAAAAAAAATTATTTAAAGTTTTGTGAACCTTTTATTAGCGAAGTTAAATCTAAACATGTTTTTATAATTTTTTTTAAATTTTAGAGGAGAAATCCGTTTACTCTAAGGATTTAGGGTTTTAGTGAACTTACTCTATTAAATAACTAATATGTTACATCCAATTTTAATGATTCAACTATTAAATTAAAAGTTTTTAATGTATAAATTAAGTTTATAACTTTTTTAAAAATAAAAATCATATAAATTCAAATCAATATATATATATATATATATATATATATATATATATATATATATATATATATTTTATAATTATTCATTAATTTAAATGAATGAAATAAAGTACCATATATTTTGCTTAACAAATCTAGAGTTTATTAGACTAAAATTTGTTTTGGGCAAAGATTAAATCACTTTTTTTTTAATGCAAATAAAAATTAATTTGACCAGTAATTATTAAGTCCTAAACAATCTTTTTTATAATACGAAAAACCTTAACAAGCATTTATTCAGGAACCATTTTTCCTATCAAGAGACATTGATAACGAAGTTTGAATGTAAGAATTTAGTTTATAGTACTAGTCGGGCTAAGAAAAAAAAAATTATGCTTTTACAAAACTCCGTCTGATCATCTTACACAAGAGACCCAATTAGATTTTAAAGACACTTTTTGATATTGAGATGCAAGAAGAAAAATCTAAAAGCAGTGATAAGTGATGAGAGATAATAGTAACAATAATAATCGTAAGGCTTTGCAAAACAAAGAAAATAATCAAAATATGCAGAATAATGAGAATTCCAATTTCCACAACACCCACCAAACATTCTTGAACCCAGAATTTACAAGACAAATCACTAAACAAAGAAGAGGGTCCCTCCCTAATTAAGAATTCTTCAATTCAACATCTTTGTTGCTTGGCTTCAAATTCCTCCACAGATACCTCCCACTAGCCATGTCAACGAATACCCAAAATCCATTCTCAACCATCTGAAAAACCCAACAACATTCTCATCAATAAAATACAATAATCTCTCAATTTCTTCTCATATAAACACATTACTCTCAAAAATTCACAAAATCCTTAAGAATCACAAATATCAGCTTACAAATTCGTGTTTTTTAAATAAATAAAAAAACTTATCCGCCGCCAAAATTCTCAAAAACAAGAACTTGGGAGTTCATTATTTTGTGTTTTTTTAACAAAGAAAAAACCATTAATTTGTCTTGAAAAATTGTGCAGCAACCTTACCAACCACAAATGTTTATTCTAGGAAATTAATTGTCCCCCACTAAAATTTCCTAGGATAAATTTGCATATTATTTTTTTTAACGAGGATCATCGCAGAAACATGATTTTGGGGTACCTTTTTGAAATCAAAATTTTCCTTCTTGGGGGATTTGTCTTCTTGGGCAGAATAATCCTCGGAATTTAGCTCCATCTCCGGCGAAGAACGCACCGTTTTCCACGCAAAATAACCCGCTAGCACAGCGGAGAAGAACACCAAGATGAACCTTAAAGGGCACATTTCTCACAAGGAAAAAAATTTCAATTCAAGTGAAAAGATGGAAAATTGTTGATAACCCACCAAGGATCAAGGGTACAAGAATGTTGGGGTTGATTTTTTTTCTCTTTTTTCTTTCTCTTTTTTATGAGAAGGAGATAGAGGGGTGGGAAAAAAAAGTGAGAGGGTTTGTTTTGTATTAGTAAAACCAGAACGCGTTGAGTTGTTTTTGTTTAGAAAAAGAAAATTCTCAACCACCACTTTGTGACTTTTGGGGGTAGTTTGCTTGAGATTTGAGAATGAGATTTGTTTACAATGTCAAAAGGTGGCTTCTCCAACTGCTACCATTTCATATTGGGTCATCTTTTTTGGCCAAGTCCTCGCTGACGAAGATCGCCACAAGTATCCAAAATAGTATATGTATATTGCATTCTTTATTATTTTTAACCATGCTAATTCTCAATTAGAAGTTAAGTATCAATGAGTTTGATTAAGTAATTTGTAATCTCCTTCAAAATCTTTAAAAATAGACTAGTGATTAATATATGAGTATATGAGGTCGTATCTTGTTATAATTAAAACTTTTTTATTCTAAAAAAAAAAAGCAATAAGTTCAAGTGGAAATAAATTCCTCATTTTAAATAACATTTGGATGAAAAATACATATTTAAAATTAAAAATTCAATTAAAGGTGATCGATATAGTTTTGTTATATACATCAATTAAAATTTTATATTTTTTCATAAATATTTTTTATATATAACTACTAAAGATTGAGCTTATTTAAGAAATGAAATTATTTATCAATTATCTCACATATTGTATTTATATTTATCTCTTTTTGTCTTGTCATTCTACTCACATAAAATTAACACAGAAGTTTGATAATTTGTATAATAGTTAATTTTAAAATCATTCTAGCAATTTTTTTGATCGGTTCTCACACAAGTTTAAAATTTACGCATGGATTACTAATTGATGCATGAAAGTTAAATAATTAATAATTTATTTAATTATCCATCTTATGCGGATAAAATTTAGGCGTGTATGCATTAAATTTTCCATGTTAAGTCAACTTTGGAGAATGGCGTGAATCTAGAAGATAACCCCCAAGAAGTGGGCCAGCTCACACCATGATAACGATTCATCATACAAATAACTTTACTTTAAATAATTTAGGGTTCTTCACTTCTTCTATGCTATCGATACAAGAAAGTAGAAATACATATACTAATTTGGTTTAGTGCCAATTTTTTTTTTCTTCTTCTCATTGACATTGTCCCTGTTTTGGGAAAATTATATTAACACACGAAATTATGCATATTCGTTTATGATTAGTCAATTTTTTTTTAAGAAATAAAGAATAAAAAGTATAAGTGGTCGAAATTAAGTTTAATTTTTAGTTGAAAATTATAATGGCATATGGTAGAGGGAAAAAGTGGGAATTATGCGTACTTTTGTCAAAAATACAAGAAATTAAAAATTTATTAAATAAATATATTTTAATTTAACAAATCGATATTGTTTCTAGATTCAGCCCAAGGTCCAATCTATATAATGGGCTTCTAAAACGTCTTAGCCCAAATTGTCCAATGTCGACAGAGGACAATACCAATTAAGTGTAAGATCCTCAGAATTTGGCATAGAATAAATTTAGCATGTTGCTATACCAAAAGGATGACAAAATGATGAATGTTTAAGACAGAAATATCCATTTGACCTGAGAAAGGTATCCAGTCACCTTTGGTCCTTAAAGGGTACACAATTCATATAAGCATAAAAGACCAATTTCATATGGATTAAGAAAGTTAATTAAATATATTTAACTTTTTATTTTTATTTTTATATAAGTTTAGAAAAAGTAGTGTTATGAAGAAAATAGAGATGTTAAAAGGAGAGTTGAATGGTATAATAAAAAATTCAACACTTTTTGAAATAGCAAAATAGTAACATGATTGTAAGTGTGTAGACAAAAAGATAAATAAGAACAACACACAGTGTATGTTTTTATACTGGTTCATCTCAATTATCGAGACTACATCTAGTTTTTAATTAATCAACCTAATCAAGTTCTACTATCTTTTACAAGGATATAAGTACTTTTTCCCAAGTCACTTCGAACTCAATCTAAGTGTTCTTTGAATTACCTCTTCAAATAACTACCTAAGTATTCTTTTAACACAATGTCTCTCCAAACTTTAACAATCAAGTATTATTTTACAATCAAGCCTCTACGGACTCTAATAACTAAATATTAGTTTATAGTCAAACCTCTCTAGATTCTAATAATCAAGTATTCTTTTACAGTCAAGTCTCTTCAAGCTTAAAGTAATAACACAAAGTTAAAATTGGGTAAGCTAACAATATTGTTTTGTCTTAGTATCAAGACGTGATACAACCAGTTAAATACAAGGATTTTTATAGAAAGTAATTTACAATAATGTTCATGTAAAATTATCTCTTTCTTTTTAAATCTTCAAGCTTTTTTGTATAGATGTTTCATGAAAAGTGACCGTTACAAATCCTTGAGTATCTCTCACAATCTTACTTCATCTATCTTCATCTTTGTTCCTTGTAAAAGGAAGTACCCATTGATGCATTAAATGTTCACATTAAATGCATTTCACCAAATTGTCACTTCTTATCTAATGAAGGAAACTACTTATCATCTTTTAGGTACCAAAGGAGAGAAACCTTGCGTGTGTCAGTCTGAAACAACTTTTCCTACAATTTTTCATTCTTTGCGGGATATGCTAATTCTTTTTTTGATGAAAAATATGTCTTTAGTTCCTTTAGTGAATTATGAGTACCGAAGAAGCTTTACCAATTTGATCTATTAAAGAATCATGTGAACAAAAATGATTATGTTATCACACATCATAAATGATATAAGTTAAGTTCATATATTTCTTATAAATGAAGTGCTTCATCTATGAGACTTAATGTCAAAATAACTAAACATCTTAATCAAATTGTCTTATAAACATTCATCTTTAAAAAAACTTTTCTCTTGAAAATCATATATATTTGTTATTATTAAAACCTAAAGTCCTAAGGAATCTAAGATCATCTTTTGACTTAACAATCTCTCCTTTTTTGATGGTGACAAACACATTTTTAGAAAGAGAAAATTTTAGGTGTATATAAGATCTAGTTGTTTTCAACAAACAAATAATTTTTCCTTAAAAACCATTTTAATGGAAAAAGATGTGTGTATCATAGCTTTAATTTCTTTAAAGAAAATTTTTATAAACAAAATAAAAAACATTTCTTAAAAATTTTGTATCAGAGCTTAAAATGAAAAGTTGTTTCTGAAAGCGAGGGGTGCATTCATATTGAATTTAGAAACTATATCAAATCAAACATTATTGAAACAAGAATATCCAAAGATATATGTAAATGACATACAAGTATCATAACATTTGTATATATCATATGAATACTGAACTAGATCATGCAAAAATATCGACAGATATGTCAGATTTATCAACAATATTTTAGAGCATAATATAATGACATATGTATCAAAACATAAGTCTATGTAACATTTATATTAGGGCATGTAGTAACATATGTTTCAAAGTATAAGTTAATATGAATCTTAGCATATGTATCAGAGCATACATATATATAAATAAAGCATGCATAAGGCTTCAAGATTACTGAATTAAATACGCTCCCCCTTAGATGGAGAAATCTATTCAAAAAGTGCATAAAATGAGAGACTTAAGAAACTTAAAAAAAAACTTTAAAAAGAAAACTTTCAAAAACCACAATATTACTTCCTCTTTTGACACTAACAAAAGCTAGTGCAAATCAGTCAAAATCCTTGTCGTAGTTAATCTTGATATTCAACTTGGAAAGAAGCTTTAGGTACTTGCATTTAGCTTGACGTTGCCTTTGAACAACCACTTGAAGTGCGGTAGGAAGATGATTGACCAATGTCGACAATGTCGAAAGGCATTAGAGGACAACTGCAAGTGCTTCCTAGGTAGGCTTAAAGGTGATATCAGGGTAGAAATAGATATAATATGTGAATAAAAAAAATAACATGTATAGGAAAATGTACAAAAATAATATTCTGTTACTGTAAAATTAAATATACTCTAGTCAGTGCAAGTTGGGCTAATGAGGTAGCTTGTAACACCCTGATTTCCATACCTTATATTAATAATACGTAGTATTTATTTTAATTTTTTATTGTATTTATTAAAAGAATTTTTAATATTATTTAGTTATTTGATATGATCTTTATTTTTATATAAAACATGTTATTTTTACTAAAAGGAGGAAATATATTTTATATTATTTATCTATTTTAGGTGAGCTCTATTTTAATATAAAGCATGATTTTTAATTAATATTTGGATTATTTGCTATAAGACTATTTTTATGAAAATATGTTTTTATCAAGAATTATGTTTATGTTCTTTATTAAAGAGGAGGAAGTATGTTTAATTATTCTAATTGTTTTATGAGAAGGGAAGAAAGGATGTTACGATCATTTGTTAATTTTATTATTATTATTATTATTATTTTAAGTAAAAAGGGTGGGTCAGGAGTCAGTTTCTAGTTTTTCATTCTTGACTCTATTCATTCCTTTTCTACACTCTTTGAAGACCAAAGAGAACCGGGAGAAGCAAACCAACCAAAGATTGTTGTCACTTTATCTTCTGCTCATCAAGGTAAAGGGGAGTGAGAAACCTCGCTCAGGGGTGTGAGAATATTTGTTGGGTAGTAGGATTGACCCTCAATCCCTTGCCTGATGCATGCTCATAAGAATAGGCAAATTCTGATTGTTTTCTATTTTGGTGTTTAATTTGATGTTTCTAATGTGTTCCTTGTTGGATGTTGTGCATGAATATGTAATTAATTTCGAAGATTGGTATGTTTTGATGTGAATTAGAGTGCTCTATGGGTTCCTATGAGAAATCCTATGAGAAACAATTAGGGATATGATCATTTGACAAGAATTGAAGTGTTTAATGTGAAATCGAGTATGAATTCGTGTTCTAGAAGTTATTTGAAGTAATTGTACCGATTGGATTGCATGATTATGTGTTTTAATGTGAAAATAGCATGATTGCGAAGTGTAGGTTCGCATTGAGGGCGCCATGCGCGGTTCTTCGCGCTGGGTGCAAATTAATAGGTTCCCAAGAAAATTGAGCCAGGCTTAGGAAAATCGAGCCAAGCTCAAGAAAATTGCACCGTGCATAGGAAAGCTGCTTCGGGTGTAGGAAAGTCACGCCAAGCGCATGTGAAGTTGCACCAGATGGGTTTCTCCACTTTACGTGCGACATTAAATTTGTCAGGCGCGTTCAAGG